TAACTCACAATGTCAAGGCCACGCACCACACGTTTCACAACCAAAACATAAACACCGTACCCTGGCTCCCCAGCCCTACTTTTTAACATTTAACCCCAATTCATCTATTTAGTAGACTCCTTATTAGCTTATCAGCAACAGTTTAACTGTTCTGCACAATAAGTCACAATATACTTTACACCACTTACTTAGTTGAACTTATACGCAATCAACTTCACACCTTCTTACGTCCAACTTCTCAACTCCCCATCTAAACTTAATTATTTTCAATATACAGGTGTTTATCATATAGTGCTTTATTCCCCAAGCAATAATTTCATTACATTTTGGTTAAACACACCTACCACGTCGGTCGATGAATTGTGGCACTGTCTCAAGTCGATAGTTGGGAGTTCGGGGACAGACAAGCCATTCTTGTAGAAGTATGAGAGATTATGGCACATACATTTAGAACAATACCTTTTCCACATAATAGTAGATATATATATGTGTGAAATATGCACGCATAAAACTACCAGATGAAAGGCACATGGTTTATAAAATTCCACCACTGATACAATACAGCCCGACGGGGAGTTGGTTTAGTTGGTCTGTTGTTTAACACCGCACTAGGCAATATTACAGCTATATGGCGGCGATCTGTAAATATTCGAGACAATACAGTGATCAACATTATGAGCAAAAAACGCCACGGAGTTGGGTAACGATGACATTGTCAACCAACCAAGTCAGCGAGCCCGACCACCCGATTCTGTTAGTCACCTTTTACGACAAGCATGTGTTGCTGAGGACCAATATAACCCGGATCTTCACGCGTAACATGGGGAGTAGGGAAATGTGTAGCTTAGCCCAGTGAAAAACAGAGCTCATAAAACAGGACTCATAAAATACCTAAAGGTATTTAAGAGATGTTAAGAAGAACTTCTGTATTTGTACAACACGATGCAACGGAGTATATTCTTATCCTCCATCGAGTGAATGAAGACACTAGAAACTAGGAAACAGAAAGCTAAAGACGTACAGTGATAAACAAACAGCGATAAGATAACAAGGGAAGCCAGTACTTAATTAGCGCTAAATTGGTAGGGTGGATGGACAAATGGAAGCCAGGGATTGTTAATCCCAGCATGAATAATGAGATAACAATGGCGGCATTTAACAAGGGAAATGACAATAAAGAAATGCAAGCCAGGAATTAATCCAGACCTAATTAGTGATGTAACAATAAATTAAATGATTGTTATCCTTTTTACAGACTTTTTAAGAGCGCTCATTTATTTCAACACACTCGGTTTCTGGTGTTATTGTTGGATTATTGTTTGTACAAGTCAAAGGATTAATTAGAAAAATGCCACAGAATTCGAAAGCATGTTCATTTTGTTTCTATACAATTAAACCAAATGACAATGAAGCCTCCTGTTGGATTAAATCATACGCAGGTTAGACGTCATGTGCAGACAGGGCAGAATTACGTGAAATATCGCTTTCTCGCTCTATTGCTTTCTCGCTCTATCGCTTTCCTGCTTTCTCGCCTTAGTATATCGCTTTCACGCTCTATCGCTTTCTCGCTCTATCGCTTTCTCGCTCTATCGCTTTCTCGCTTTCTTGCTCTATCGCTGTCTCGCCTTAGTATATCGCTTTCGCGCTCTATCGCTTTCTCGCTATATCGCTTTCTCGCTATATCGCTTTCTCGCTACATCGCTTTCTCGCCTTGGTATATCGCTTTCTCGCTCTATCGCTTTCTCGCGTAATGTTATCGCTTTCTCGTCTCGTGCTATCGCTTTCTCGTCTCGTGTTATTGCTTTCTCGTCTCGTGTTATCGCTTTCTGGTCTCGCGCTATCGCTTTCTCGTCTCGTGTTATCGCTTTCTCGTCTCGTGCTATCCGTTCTCTTCTCGTGTTATCGCTTTCTCGTCTCGTGATATCGCTTTCTCGCCTCCGAATTTTAAGGCGAGAAAGCAATGGCCCTAATCAGCCACCATACGAAAGTGTGCGAGACTGAGTGCGCGAGTGTGAGCGCGAGAGAGTGTGCGCGAGAGTTTCTGAGTGAGTGAGTGTGAGAGAGTGTGAGCGTGTGAGAGTGTGAATTTAATGTCCGTAAACAAGTATTTTGGATGGCAATTGTTAGTAGTGACGTTTTATTGTTGATACATGTAAGTATCTATGTATGTACATTTGCCCCATTCCATCTGTTGGTCACGTTGGTCAGTAACTGGGGGCGGTGGGGTAGCCTAGTGGTTAAAGCGTTGGCTCGTCACGCCGAGGATCCGGGTTCGATTCCCCACATGGGCACAATATGGTGAGCCCATTTCTGGTGTCCCCCACCGTGATATTGCTGGAATATTGCTAAAAGCGTCATAAAACTAAACTCAGTAAGTCAGTCAGTGGTCAGTAACTGAGCGATACTAATACCACTATATTATCTTATTACTTACTGATGGAAATTCCCAAAACTCAAAATAATCTTAGGCTGTACTCATTCAAAAGAAATGGTTAATATTGACCAACATGCTTATGTGATACACGTGTGACGTGTGACGCATTATTTCACACTGAACTACAATCTACGGGGTTGACATGCAGCGTATACAGCATTCAAAGAACACTGACAAAGGTACCTCTGTCATTCATCATAAAACGTGCAAAATACTACTGGTACCATTTTTTACAGTACAAGAGCAGGGGCGGATAAAGCTTTTTGAGAAAGGGGGTGCACATTATTTAGAAGGGGGCGGCTGAGCTTGAGCATGGATCTACGCAATTGGGGTACGATGACGTGTCAACAGAGTCAGCAAGCCTGACCACCCGACCACGTTAGTCGCCTACTCATCAAGAACGAGATTGAAAAGGTACAGCATCTTGGAATTAAATATGTCAACTATACTCTCTCTCTCTCTCAGATATATAATATGCCATAGCACTCATACAATCGGAGCTTACTTTTGCATCTTCCATTGTGAACTAGGGAAGAGAAGTAACCACATACAAACGATCAAGGAAACGCCCTTTCCTGAAAATATATTCGTGTGTTTTGTATTATTTTTCCCTAACGTTAAATTGATGTCCAACGGATGCTCGTGTTGTCCACATTAAGATACACGGTAAAACTATCTAATTGTTTAAAGGTCACATGCAACGTAAAACACAACTTTGCAGATTCTGATACCTTTCGGTATGGACTTACCGAAACAAAGCGTCAAAAATGCAAATTCATCTTATAAAGTTGAAAAATAACGCGATGAAAAAAACCGCGCGAAATCGGTGTTCAAACGTTTCACTAATTTTCCCCAGACTTTTCTGGGGAATACGGGTTTCAACAGCTGGGCTGCGCTCATAGCACGTGCGCAGTGAAATAGGTTCGCGCAACTTGGAAGCGGGCTGTCTGGTGAATACTCGGTGAAGGCTTTGATGTGAGCTATTTTCATAATGTTTTGTTGATATCTCACAGGCGCGAACTTTTTTATATGTTATGACAGTAAATAAACTGTTTATATAATTTCATTTGTCTATTTCACCACACGTTCTTCTTACCGAGTCACTTTCTCAGTTTGATACTTAAAAGCAATGTCATTATTTAGCGTTGACACAATTTCTAACTGTGATATAGATATGTCGCTGTCACAGACAAAACTCAATGTCTTGTTTTATTGACACCTGTGTGTCGGCCTGCCTCTCTGCTAATGACAATATTCAATACACAACTTCGATCACTGACCACATTCAATTTGAACTTAACACCAATCAGGCTATACACCATCAACAAAACGCATTGATTTATGGCCCGAGTTCGGTCTATGTCACATTATGTAATTACACAGACAGGCAGGTGTGATACTTGAACACATGACACGTTATGATGTCTGTTGATTGCAAAATGTTATACACAAAAAATGAGCATGTATTTACAAAACCCAACATCTCTATATATACACACACAATGACCCGTGAAGGCGACATCTGCTAATGAACCAGCCCTTACACTTGAGTGCACACCCACCCGCTCTGACTGGGTTCGGTATCCCGTCTGCTTCGTTTCGAGGGAGGTAAACCCAAGTACAAAATATTGCACTTTTGATTTGCGATTATACGCTTATAATTTTGTTTATTTGTTTTTTCATAATCAGCAATGCATATTATATGTCACGAAGAAGTGCTAATTGTGTTTTAATTATGTTTGATTTTTTGGTTGCATGTGACCTTTAATATCTATTCAAGGCATTATTTAAATGGTAAAAACAGTTTATTTTCTGTCGAAAGAGTGGCAAACTCTGACTGTGATACCTAGATCTTTTTTGTATAATCACGGAAATATATAGATATTAATGAACATACCAATGTCCTCGTTCTCCGACATTGCAAAATACATAAAACAAGCATGGTGCAGTTTTTACAGTAACTTCCTTATATTTGAAGATACTATCAAATGTGAGATTTAGACACCGGGTGTCTGCCTTTTTTTCATATCAGAATGTAGCAGCTATATATGTTAGTTCATTTATTTTTCTACATGACCATAGCGATTTGGCACGTTAAGAGAAAGTTGTCTAAATATTATTTTAAGTAGTCACTTATTCGTAATACTCAACACCGCTCCAACATTGTAGCACTTTCGTAGCGGATGAATGAATCCAAGCGGCCCCATGTGCTATTACATTAGAGTGTAACGTCACAACAGCCTCTCAAAGGTGAGGGGCAGTGGCTGTGGTCGCAATACTATGACGTCATCAGCAGTGTGACGTCACTGTACATTTTGGCGCCATGTCAGCTGGCCAACCCCTCGGCTCAGTCTGAGGTCACAGAGTGCAGCGAGATGTAAACAAACAGTTTGTTGTTGTCTGTTTCACGATTTGTTAGGAACTTCTGAGATAACTCAAACAGAGATGTAAAACAAGACATTGTGTTTACATACCAACCATATATGATGACTATTTACACTCAGACAACAACTTTCTTACCTGACCATGCAAAGTTCTAAACACAACAAACGACAAAATGTTTGAAAAGGTTTAATAAAGTTTTATTTCTCCTGAAACACAACAAATATTCTCACCTTGAAACTAAAATAAACACTACGACGTGAACGACACACACAGTGTCCCCCCGTCACAGTCTATACCAAAACACTGCCGACTGATTGGCCGTCTCGCATTTACATCATGTGACAGCTTGACGCTCCAGCAGTTTCACCACATTCGTATGTCCCTCATGTCTCGCCACGTCCACCGCTGTCTGTCCGATGTTGTTCCTGACGTTGATGTCCACCCCGTCCAGAGACAGGACAAACTCCACTGTCTTCCTGTCTCCTCCCTCACAGGCCCAGTGAAGGGTGTTGTTACCGACATCGTCCACCAGTGACACATCAGCACCTTGACTCACAAGGAACTCCACCACACCCCTGTGTCCCCCCAGTGCTGCCCACATCACCGGTGTCGTCCCGACCACACCACTACAGTTGACGTCAGTCCGACCTGTGTCCAGGATCCGCTTCACCGCCGCCAGCTTCCCCTCCTTGCAGGCGGAATGGAGGTCGTGGTCTGCCCGGGCGTCTCTCCGTGCAGGTGTCGGTGTCGCTGTATCACAAAGTAAACTCTGTACACAGGTCGGACATCTTCATCTTACAGCTACATTGTTCACATCTTACACTGATACAATACAAAATACTCGGTACATCATCTATACATGCAGTATGGCTGACAGCAACATGGCGGGTGTCCTGGGAATCACAAGAACTAGTTGATGTTAATTACACATTAGTCATTTACATGAATAGAATGTTATCTAACAGTTCTAACACAGTTTTGTGTGTGTGTGGAGAGTGGTCTGCCCGCTACAACACACGTGACATTGTCTCCACCCACCTCGTGTGTCAGGTCTTGAGGGGGTTCCAGACATCGTTGTGTCTCCCTCTCCGCTCGTGGCTGTGGAGACAAACAGGAGGGTTAGAATAAACACTGTGTTCATTAGTCTATAAGTGTGGTCACTGATGCAAGTATTGAATGTATTCTGACATTATATACATTGAATGTATTCTGACATTATATACATTGAGTGTATTCTGATATTATATACATTGACATTATATACATTGAGTGTATTCTGACATTATATACATTGAATGTATTCTGACATTATATACATTGAATGTATTCTGACATTATATACATTGAATGTATTCTGACATTATATACATTGAGTGTATTCTGACATTATATACATTGAATGTATTCTGACATTATATGCATTGAGTGTAATCTGTCATTATATACATTGAGTGTAATCTGACATTATATACATTGACATTATATACATTGGATGTATTCTGACATTATATACATTGAGTGTAATCTGATATTATATACATTGAATGTATTCTGACATTATATACATTGAATATAATCTGACATTATATACATGGAATGTATTCTGACATTATATACATTGAATGTATTCTGACATTATATACACTGAATGTATTCTGACATTATATACATTGAATGTATTTTGACATTATATACATTGAATGTATCCTGACATTATATACATTGAATGTATTCTGACATTATATACATTGCATGTATTCTGACATTATATACATGGAATGTATTCTGACATTATATACATTGAATGTATCCTGACATTATATACATTGAATGTATTCTGACATTATATACATTGAATGTATTCTGACATTATATACATTGAATGTATTCTGACATTATATACATGGAATGTATTCTGACATTATATACATTGAATGTATCCTGACATTATATACATTGAATGTATTCTGACATTATATACATTGAATGTATTCTGACATTATATACATTGAATGTATTCTGACATTATATACATTGAATGTATTCTGACATTATATACAAAGGGTATTGTGCTGATTAGGTGTATCCCCGCTGATGTTAGATTACAGAGGACTGAAAGATGTATATCAACTCCCTCATTGTAAAGAATATATTCTATATGAAGTGATAATTTCACAAACCATAAATCTCTTTACTAGATGACACAAGGGTTTGTTTTTGCAATAGAAAAAGCTTTCTTACTTATCTGATGAGCTGACAATATATCATGTATAGTATTATTGTATACACAATGCGACTAACACATCTGGTCCACAATATTCCCCCACCTACCGTGTACATCAGACTTCTGTGAAGACCCAGGTATCAGTGCTATCCCCTCGCTCCAGGCTGCAACACAGAATATGTCATGTAGAATACTTCAACACAGAACATGTCATGTAGAAAACTTCAACACAGAATATGTGATGTAGAATACTTCAACACAGAACATGTCTTGTAGAATACTTCAACACAGAATATGTCATGTAGAATACTTCAACACAGAATATGTCATGTAGAATACTTCAACACAGAATATGTCATGTAGAATACTTCATCACAGAATATGTCATGTAGAATACTTCAACACAGAATATGTCATGTAGAATACTTCAACACAGAACATGTCATGTAGAATACTTCAACACAGAACATGTCATGTAGAATACTTCAACACAGAATATGTCATGTAGAATATACTTCAACACAGAATATGTCATATAGAATACTTCAACACAGAACATGTCATGTAGAATACTTCAACACAGAATATGTCATGTAGAATACTTCAACACAGAATATGTCATGTAGAATACTTCAACACAGAACATGTCATGTAGAATACTTCAACACAGAACATGTCATGTAGAATACTTCAACACAGAATATGTCATGTAGAATACTTCAACACAGAACATGTCATGTAGAATACTTCAACACAAAATATGTCATGTAGAATACTTCAACACAGAATATGTCATGTAGAATACTTCAACAGAATATGTCATGTAGAATACTTCAACACAGACATGGAAACAACTACACCAGTGCACCAGTACTGTTGCTAAACATATGTTCAGGGTATTATTCATGATGCAGGTAGATGGTCTTGAGTGATGGTTCTTGGGTGGTTATAACACGCCATTCCAGTAAGTCACTGTGTCTTTGTTCAGTTTAAACAGATTTTAGAAATATAAAATTGTCATTTTATTTATTGATGAGGTTATTTAAAAAGTACGTGGGTCAACTAAGAAAATCATTCTAACAAATTCACCTTAGATAACATCATACACATAAAAACGTAACACTACCCACCACTATCGTCCTGGTTGGATCCCAACAGCGTCTTCCGCCTCCCGCACTCTATCTGTGTTTCCGAGACAAGTGCTGAAAATAACAATATATATGTTGATTTATGTGTATGGTATTTCTTTCAACCCATTCAGATGGAAGTCTGTTCCTGCAATCTCCAAAATGACTCACTGGAGGAATGGAAGTGTCTTGGTTCGAGTCTGGCAGAAGGGGGTTCGTGAGCTCAAATGGCTTGGATTTTATACACTTGTCATATTACTGTCGTATTTTCTAAATAATGCAAATAATGAAAATGCTGCATACGCTGTCAACGTGACGCGCATCCAGTGTTTGCTTCCATCAGTGCTATTATTTGCAAACTCGGGCGAATGTTCAAACTGACTGACATGGTTTACTATGATCAAGCCTAGAAACCGGATCTCAAAGTTATTCATAAACACGCACACCTGTACATCAATTTTGGATTATTACCCGTATAGGAGTCACCTAGTCGCGTGTTGTAACCTCATCAGTGACAGCCTTCGAGACCACATTTCAAACAGACAGTGTTTACCGTTAACTGACGAAAACCTTTAGAAAATATTGGTCAGACAGAACTTGCCTCGGTTGTCGAGAACTACACACTTGTGCCAATATTTCCTCAAACCAAGAAGGGGCGGTGGGGTAGCCTACATGGTTAAAGCGTTGGCTCGTCACACCGAAGACCCGGGTTCGAATCCCCACATGAGTACAATGTGTGAACCCATTTCTGGTGTCCCCCGCTGGAATATTGCTAAAATCGGCGTAAAACCAGTCAGTCAGTCAGTCAAACCATGAAATCATTTTTTTTTCCTTCAGTAACAACAATAAATCAAGGAAAATATCTACGATACACAGTTGGTAAATTGGTAAATTGTAACTGCTGTCGTCAATCGTGATGGACCCATCCATACTTACATACAGTGAGTGAGTGAGTTCAGTTTTACGCCGCACTCAGCAATATTCCTGCTATATGGCGGTCGTCTGTAGATAATCGAGTCTGGACCAGACAATCCAGTCATGAACAGCATGAGCATCGATCTGCGCAATTGGGAACCGATGACATGTGTCAACCAAGTCAGCGAGCCTGACCACCCTTAGTCGCCTCTTACGACAAGCATAGGTTACTGCAGGCTTATATTCTAACCCGGACCTTCACGGGTCACTTACATACAGCCTGTACGTACACTGTTTACACGTACGTGTATAGTGTAATACATACATATGTACACACATAATCAACACATACGTGTATAGTGTAATACATACATATGTACACACATAATCAACACATACGTGTAAAGTGTAATACATACATATGTACACACATAATCAACACATACGTGTATAGTGTAATACATACATATGTACACACATAATCAACACATACATAATGTCTACAAACTGTCGCAAATAAAGATTACAATATAAACAGGAAGAGTTGAAACCTGATGGCTGGTTTGTCAAATTTGGAGATATTTACATGTGTTTGGTCCCGGTACCGTATGAAACAAGTACCTGCTGCCTTATCCCTACAGTAGTCGTTGTCTAACTTGCCCTGTTCACAACAATATCTATTTCCCTAATAGTTCTAAAGTATGATAAACAAACTTACCCCACTATTGTCCTCACACAACAGACACATCTCACTGCCAACCTGGAAATACCCTGACTGGCGACACTAGTCACGCTAAGGGGCCAGCTATGACGTCATTGTGACGTGGCTTATTGGAAGCATGACAGAGTTTTGCGCTCACTTGCTCATTCAGACCCGTGTCTCAGACTCAGACTCAGACTAGTTTATTCAATACTACAGGCCTTATGACCTAAGGTACAATTACAGCAGAATATCATATTTTGTCACGTGGATATGATATAATAAACAAAACTTACAATTAAGAACGGCGTGGATTAAATACATGATTCAAATATAATGTTAGTAATTTGATTGTTTGTGGATTTTGTGAAGAAATAAGTTTGATGAAGTTACATTTGTTTGGCACAACAGAAGTTAACCAAGGTAAATATTTCGTTCGAAGTGCAGAATATTTTGGACAGGAAAATAGTATGTGAACTTCATCTTCGATGTTGAGATCCATGCAATGTTCACAGCAGATGGTATAGTCGTACTGTTGTTTCTCCTTCCTGTATGCATTTACCTTCAGATTGTTCAATGCTATTCTGAATTTACAGAATGCACGTACCACAGACTTGTCTTGGAGGCAGGTAATGTAATATGTTTCTGTGTTAAAATCAGTTTTAAATCCAGAGTATAATGACAGATAACTTGAGTTAGAAATAGACAAATGCCAATCCTGGATAAAGATATCCTGCAACCTTTGTCTGAAAGTGCTGATAAATAACTTCTCGTCACCAACTTGTTGTGATAACCAAGTCCATGCGAAACCTGTTGAAAAGAGCAGAGATCTAACCTCTGACACCCAGTTATGCCTTCCATTATCGTCTAAAGATTTGAGAAGAAGATAGCTCTGTCTTGGATATCTAGAGGAGTTCATTCGTAGTAGTTTCAACCAGTATTTGATTACTCTCATTCTGGTATACACAAACACACTGCAGCGACCTGTTTCACCCAATATTGCTTTGTTTGATGCAAATTTCCCAACAGATATAAATCGTTTAAGGAAAGAGGTATGGACCTTTTCAGTTGTTTCATTGTATAATGTTCCCCATATCTCGGAGCCATAAAGAAGGATTGGTAAAATCTTGCAGTCATTGCTGTAGAGAACGTCACTGCTTGGTTACGTTTAAATAGCTGGTATACTGGCCTTAATGCTTTCGATGCCTGTGATGCGAGATTGCTACATGCAGCTGACCATTTTAGCCTAGATGAGAATAGTAGACCAAGATACTTGTAGTATGTTGTACACTTCAATTGTTCACCCGCATAGAACCACTCCTCCTTCTTGCGTATAATTCCACCATTACGAAAAACGATCATTCTTGTTTTATCCCCAAGACTTGCAGTACTGGTATAATACGTCTAGTTGTTGTTGCAAACCTATAACCGTGTAAGAGAACATGTTGACGTCATCAGCAAATAACAGCATCTTAATATCCGCGATGTCCTGAGAAACAAAGACTCCGTGTTTGCAGGTCTGGTAGATTTCAGTGGCTAATTCATTGATGAAAACAGTAAATAAAAGAGGACTTAGCATACATCCTTGGCGCACTCCAGAACTTGTCAGGAAGGAGTCAGTGTTCCCGTTGTCAACCTTCACATATGCTTTGACTGACGTATATATATTTGCCAGTACGTTATATATTTTACCATGACATCCATGTATTAAAAGCGAGTAAAGCAGTTTGTCTCTATCTACCAGATCAAAGGCTTTTTTGAAATCAATAAAAGCGCAGGAGAACCGACCCCCTCTTTCGCAAAGATATTTTGAACATAATGCTTAAAGGGTGAAGATATTATCAACTGTTCCATAACCTGGGCGGAAACCAGCTTGTGCTTCAAGGAGAACCTCATTTAAATCAGTCCATGTTCGTAATCTGTTTTCCAGCACAGATGTGAATATTTTTCCAGCCACATTAAGCAGCGAAATCCCTCTGTAGTTATTTGGGCCAAGAGTAGATCCAGACTTGAATATCGGCAACACAGTCCTACATTCCACGCATCTGGGAAAAGTCCAGTATCTAAAGTTTTATTGAAAAGTGGTTTCAGAAATTCTAAAAGTGACTTTTGAACGATTTTGAAGAACTCCGGGGGGTATGCCATCATCACCAGGAGACTTAACAGATTTAAGATGTGTTATAGCTTGCAGGATCTCGTCATCAGTGATTGCATCAGACAGTAGATCACTCCCAAGAGAATGATCACAGTGTTCACAGTAACGGTTTGTTATATATTCCAAAACAAGTTCATCAAATGAGTTGTTAACATCAACACGCCCAGGATTCAACAAGTCTTTGAAGTATACTGAACCGCAAAAGAAACGCAAGTTACTATTTTCAAAACATACGTTCCAAATGCATTCCTTTTAGGACAACAAAGTATACCATTATAGAACTAAGCATTCGAAGATGGTTTTGCCTTTGTTGCCGCTGATTCTTGACCATATCGCCCAAACGCAATCATTTTCATGTTTTTCGTGTTTTTTGCATGAGGTTTTTTGTGTTTCACACAAAAATGCGTGCATTTCACTCCAGTTTGAAGCTTTATAAGGCAGGTCATTCAAAAAACACCATAGAACACAAAATTGACTGTGACAACGCGGAGAAAACATGCCACGTCTAACTGAACAGCAACGTTGAATCGCCGTTGTAATGTTGCAGACCGGATCCACACCAACTAAAGTGGCAAGGCACTTCAGATGTCACGTGACAACAATCACAAGACTATCCGCAAGGTATCGTCAAACCGGTAATGTTCCAGACCGACCACGTTCCGGACGTCCCAGGGTAACAACGTCAGCGCAAGATCGTCACATCCGGGTTACTCATCCGCATAAACGACAGCAACGAGCAACACAGACAGCTGCAACCATTCAAGGGCCACAACGTCACATCTCTGCACACACTATTCGTCGTCGTCTGAGGGCAGCAGGGATGAGGTGTCGCCGTCCTTACGTCGGACCGATTCTGACGCAACGTCACCGCCAAAATCGTTTACAGTGGGCGCGACAACACCAGCGTTGGCGACGTCAACAATGGCAACAAGTGTTGTTTTCTGATGAGTCCAGATTCAACTTGTCCCACGCCGACGGCCGATAAAGTGTATGGACACGACGTAATGAGCGTTACGCCAACTGTTGTGTTGTGGAAGCTGACCTCTGGGGAGGTGGAAGACTCATGGTACGGGGTGGCTTCAGCTACCACCACTGAACATGTTTACACGTGTTTCGTCAACGTGTGACTGCTCTAGTCTACAGAGACCAGGTCTTTCAACACCACGTTGTACCGCTCTTCCAGGCCCAACCTCAGCTCCAGACGTTCCAGCAGGACAATGCTCGTCCTCACACTGCACGGGTCTCTATGGACTTCCCCAGAGGGAACAACATTGCTGTACTGCCCTGGCCCACTCTGTCCTCGGA